GTCGTTGATTGGTACGACGAGTTTGAGACAAGTTCAAGTCAATATTCACCTCCTAGGAACTATGTACAGTAGTACAAACGATTGAAATCTCAAGTCGTCAGTTCGTAACGTGCTATGCTCCGTGAGCGGTACAGTATCCTACAATTTGTGGCCATCCCAAATACACCCACCTAGACATACAGTACCTCTGCGTGCTTCTGCTCGAAATATATTACGCCTTCACACCAAGCACCATGACCTTATATGCACAATACTGAAGCAAAGAGCTCATCGCCCCTTACATTGCTGCAAATATATCAACGTAGAAACCTTCGTTGGTCTACCGTACCGGTAGTACAGTGTAGTACATACTTCGAAGTATTAAGAGTTGGCAAGTTGAAATATCTACTGTACCGCCACGCTTAAACCAGTTTCGCAATCTCGCGGATGTGGGGGTTGTCCTTATCGTCTTTACGACACCAACTGACAATTTGTAGTACGAACATATTCCGTGGATCGGTCATTTACGAATTCTCCATGCAGGTCGACAACAACTTGGATTTACAAGAACGCGTGTCGTACATCCACTCGGACACGACCAAAGACGTTGACGGGTACGCCGAGGCGAAAACCCCCAAGGACCTGGACGACACCCTTGAAAACGGGGGGGCGCTGGCCGAAGGGGGGGCGCTGGACTTGTTCTCCCGCGAAGCGTTTGCCCTGTTCATGCAGTACGGCGCCATCGGGGTCATCTACGGCATGATCCCGTCGCTCAACTACCCCATCTTCAACATTTACCTCAACTTGGAGGGGTACCAAACCGCATCGTACGGCGTGCTCATCGTGGTCGGGTGGTCGTTCAAGGCAATATTTGGCATGTTGTCCGACTGCGTCCCCATCTTTGGCTACCGTCGCAAGTCGTGGATGTTGATCGGGTGGACCATCACAATGATCTGTCTGAGTGTGATGACGTTTTCGTCGTTGGGCGAGCCGTTTTGCAATCGCGAAAAGACCAAGTACTGCAGCACGCCGTTGGAAAAGGTGCCCGCGGCCGAGCTCCAGCACTTTAACCTGGACGCCCCCAACAACGGCACGCTGTTCATCATTCTGTCCATGTTTGTTGCGTTTGGGTACGTCTTGGCGGCGTGTGCGTCGGACGCGATGGTGGTCGAGTACGCCCAGCGAGAACCTGTGGCCATCCGCGGCCGCGTCCAGACCGCCATCTACGTCGTGCGCACGCTCACTGGCATCCTCGCGTACTTGGTGACTGCGTTCGGGCTCAACGGCCCCAACTACGCCGGATCGTTTTCGTTTGCGTTGGCGCCGAATGCTCCGTATGGCATTTGCTTGGTGCCGTGTGTGCTCGTGGTGCTCTCGACGGTATTCCTCCTCGTGGAGAAGAAGAGTCCGCCCACGTCTGCGACAGAGTGGTTCCAGGCGTTTTGGGAGTCGTTGCAGCGTCGCGTGATGTGGCAAATCTGTTTGTTCCGATTCTTGAGCAACTTTTTCAACGGCATCGGCACCACGGCGGGGTCGCCCATCTCGACCTACTGGGCGGGGGTCGAACCCCTCAACGATTCGCTCTCGAGCATCGTGGGCAGTTTGCTCTTTGCTGGCATTTTGGTCATTGTGGCCAAGTGGGGGCTCAACTGGAACTGGCGCTACACGATCGCCGCCGGCACCGTCGGGGTCATCGTCATCGACGGCTTTGTCGTGTACATGACCATCTGGGACGTCGTGCGCAACCAGTGGTTCTACACGGGCGTGGCGCTGGCCGACACCATACCTTCGGGTGTCCGCTTCATCGTTGCCACGTACGTGGCCGTGGAGATCGCCGACAAGGGCAACGAAGGCGCCACGTACGGCCTCATCTCGACCGTCAACAACCTCGCGGGGCCGTTTGCCAGCATCTTTTTCAAGTACATCAACTCGTACTTCAAAGTCCGCCAGAACGACATCAAGGCCGACACGCTCGAGGTGCGGTGGGACGTCACGTACGTGTTCTTGATTTCGTACTCGTGCAAGATCGCGTCGCTGTTTTGGCTGTTCATGCTGCCCCCCCAGAAGCAGCAAGTGCAGGAACTCAAGGCCCGCGGGGGCAAGAGCAAACTCGCCGGCGTAATCCTCATCACGTTTTTCACGGCGGCCTTGGCGTTCTCCGTGACCACGAGCGTCATGTCCATCTACCCGTCGACGAAATGCTACCGCATTGCCGGCGGCAACGGCGTGTTGGACCCCAAGACGAGCAAGTGCCCCATGCCCAAATAGTCATGTGTCTAGGTCATAAAGGAGTTTGTTGTGGTACTAGTAGTAATTATATAGATACATCATCGTTGATTCACATGCAAGTAGTACTCTTGTACAATTCACAGTAAGCTGATCCTTCTGTGCATACATACTACTTCGAAGTAGTTAGTATATGTACTGGTATGCATTTGGGTATTTGGTTGTGTGTCAATTCATTCTCCATGTCGCTCCAGTTTAGAATATAATAAATACAACAGTACTACGTACTCGGTTAGTCGTACTAGTATGTTGCGTGGTCACTTTTTATTATACGAATACGAGGACGAGTAGGACGGGCCAGTACTACTAGTACTACTACTAGTACTGCTGCCATTGGTGTTAGGTCGTTTGGCACTGTCAAAATGCTTTCCATTGCCACTGGCGTGCATCAACCTTCGCTTCTTGTTGTCGAGCAGCGGGTCGATGATTTGCACGGTCAACAACAGGTCTGGATCTACTGACAGCACACCCGCCTTGTTATCAAACTCGCCGCAGTACCCCGGGGCACTGAACAGCGTCACAAGCTGGCGGTTCGCAAAGAACTCGTAACCGTCCTGCACGACTTGATGGGCGCGGCAGACCAGGTCTAGATCGTGGCGCTTCAAAAAGCCATCGACCACGTCCGGCCCAAAGGTATGGGACACGCCGCGATCGTTATCGCCCCAGCCGCGGATCGTAGGGTCGGGGTCGCTCCACAGCAAGTCGCACATGATGCCCGAGGCTTCGACTCTCGACAGCGGCCGAGGCAGGCTGTTGATCTGCTGCAGGTGCTCGAGATCTGGTGACAACCCGCCGTGCATGCACAGGATGCGGTCGGCCACGACGCCGGCCACGGGCAGCCACGCAAACGTGTCCGAAAAGTGTTTGTACAGCTTGTGGTCGAATCGACGGATGCATTCTTCGTAGAACCCGTACTGCTCGTTGATGTCTTCGCTTTCGTGGTTGCCCCGAAGCAGAAACACGTTGGTCGGGTACCGTACTTTGTACGCAAACAATAGCGAGATCGTTTCCAGCGATTGACGGCCGCGGTCCACGTAGTCACCCAGAAAGAGATAGTTGGCGTCGGGAGGGTACCCGCAGTGGTCGAAAATGCGCAGCAGGTCGGAGTACTGCCCGTGGATGTCGCCGCAAATCTTGACCGGCGCCTCCAACTCGATCAGCATGGGCTGGGACATGAAGATGTCCCGCGCCGCCTTGGACACAGCGTACAAGTCCTCCACCGCCAGGATAGCGTCGGCCCCTGGTTTGGCGTGCCGCACGTTCAGCAGCCGACCGATGATCGCGTCGGCGCGCGCTGGGTCCATTCGTAGAATTGGATGACGGCAATCGACGAACGTACTAGTAGTACTACTATGGTAGGTTCTAGTAGGTCAGCCGTAATTTAGTGTGCATTCCGGATAATTGAACAGCTCGCCACTACATCCGGATGGTTTTCAGCCACATCCGAAAACGTCAGGAGTTCTATTGTGAATTCGCTAATAAACTTCCAGAATTCGCGCGGTTTGTCTAATCAATATTGAATCACTCTGGACTTCTCATTGGTTGAATATAGATATCCTTTCTGTAAGAGCCAATCAAATCCATTCCAAATTGGATTAGCCAATAGCGTCGATTCAAGATTCGATTCGGCGGTGAGATTCGATTCGACGGGGTCTGGAAATCTGTACCGAATCCACAATACTAACGTTATTAATACTACGTAAGCTTATTAATAGTAGTAAGCTACTAGTACTGATTGCTTTATTAGTGTACATTTGAGGAAATTTGGCCTACTGTATCACGGCGAAAATTGCGAATATCGATTATGGCTGCCGAAAGCAGGCGTTCGTTCTGATCCTCTGTTATTTTAATAAAGCGAGTGCACATCACCTAGAAATTCCAACATTTCACAAAACCGATCTGCTACTATTTCATACTTATTTCGAGGTACGACGTACTACTTCAAGGTATTCATTTTTCAAAATTGATGTAAAACGAGGCATAGTTTTCGACAGATCTCGTCGTGGTGAAGAGATATTACGTCTCAAAAAGAAATTTGGCGAAGAATTGGTCGAGTAATAGACTTTAAACCAAGTGGTATTTTGTGTACTAACCGGCTTAGGGCCAATGTGGGAAGGTTAGCGTGCACCGGGTTAGGGCCAATGTGGGAAGGTTAGCGTGCACCATATGTGTGTATAGTGACGTTTATTCGCGTTTATCAGCTAGCAAAGGAATCTTTTGAGCCTACAGCTAGCGGACTTCGCATAGTACAGTGTATACGTCGAACGGTAGACGTCCGAGTGCTGGGGGATGGTGGGGCATATTCGGCGACGATCTGCTCGGTCAGCACCTTCCACCAGATCTTGTTTGCTGCGGTTGAGCGGAGGGCCTGCAGGTTGGCGAGGCATGTGAGGCGCTGGAGCTCGTCGGGGACAGTCTTGAGGTCAGCTTTGAGCAAGCGTGGCAGCGATGTGATGGGGCGGCCGGGCCAAGGCTCAGCGACGGAAAAGTTGAAGTACCGGAGCATGGACTTGTAGGCCGCTAGGGCCTCCTTGGCCACATCCTCCGGGGTTGACGGGACACTGGAGGATGTGACCAAGGAAGCCCCAGTGAGAGCGGAGCAGGTGGTGGCGCAGTGGCACAACAGGCGTACAGCGCCGCGTTTGACGTGCACCATAACAACAGTTAAGCCTCAAGAATCGTTCGCTGTCACATCCTTTGAAGGGTGTAGATACCATAGTTGTTACGTTAAGATTAAAGTATTGGATTAAATACCTGGTTTAAACTAAAAACCTAAAGTGCACATACTATAATAGTATGTAGTACATACTAGTATGTGCACGAATTGTAGTATGTAGTACATACTAGTATGTGCACGAATTGGTTTGCTTGGCGCCTTCAACAGTGGTCTGGTGGTCGTCCTATCAGTTGACGTTGACGAAAGGTCTCAAATCTGTCCATTTATCGCCAGAAACAGATTAATTTGGATAGTGCTCGGTGGCCATTCATTGGCCGAGCCGAAACTTTGCGTAGCCAATCGTGTGGCCGAAATAGTCTACCGAAGTCCAATAAGATACACCCTGTCATACACAAATTAGTCATTTTGAAATACACAAGCTTCTGATGGAAGGGGCAATTCCAGTGAGCAGCGTCAGCGGGTTCATCGTAGTGGGAATTGTGGCGGTTTACACTGTCAAAGTGATTTACCACCACATTCGAGGCGACTACCCCGCCCCCACGTCGTCACAGTTGCTCTTGAACGATCCAACAACAGGGTAAACATGTTCACTCTGTCAAACTTCGTGTTGTCATTAGTAATTCGTACTACGTGGTTGTAGCCCATTATCGACCCCACGACTCAAACGTTCCGACATTGAAGCACTGTACGTATATCTAGCAAAGTTCGCATTGATATAACGTAAAATATATTGAAACATTGAACTAACATCGTGGGATATACCTAGACTACACGACGTGCCAAGATGGTTGTGCTCTGTATGTGCCTTTCACAACATTGATACCCGATGGAGTTGCAGTTTATGCCACACTGCCAGAGGTACATACATCACTTTGTGTTAACTTTTGAAAATATATGCTAAGTCTTTGTTCGATGTAGACACGTATTTGATTCAAAACACTGTCACCACGACCACGGACCCTTCGCTAGCCCAAGAATCCGACCCGAAGAGCATGATGCTATTAGATCACGGCGCTCGGTCAGCGATGAACACTCTGTTTTACCTACGCTCACTCCTTCCCGAAGATCTCAATCCTCGTCAGAAAAGCGCACGGTTCGTTCGTTTGCACTCTCTCTATATATATATAATATATATATGTATTATATATATTTACCGTGGCGTGTGGGTTGTTGAATTAGTATGAGGAGGCAGTGGACTCGGTCCATGTCAGCTACCCACAACGGCAAAGTCGGATGGACACGCCACTTTGTAAACGCCCCAGCGTCTGCCACGTTCCCTGTCCACATCATTCAAGTGGTAATATATCTCCCGTATATTAACTAGCCGGTCGTATGCCAAAGAGATACTAGTAGCTCACGCTGTCGTGATGTTTGCTTTACTTGTAGACGACGAGCAATGGCGGCGCGGCGGCTACTGCCATGTGGCAACCCTTGGACGAGGCATGCTCTAGTAATACTAGTGTGTCGCCAACACTGTGGCCACCGTTGCTGCAGCTGTCCGATGAATCTTTTTCCGTGAAATACGCGTGGTTTCTAAGCCAATTGGCTGACTTGGTCGTGCCGTTCAATGAGCTGCATCTCACGCGGCAAAGCCACCGCGGCGACGACTTCCTCAATGATGTCATGCACACGCTCTTGGCTTTGGAAGGGTCGGAACTCTGTGCGATTGTGCGGGTCGAGTTTCAGGATGAAATCGGCCGCGATGCTGGGGGCCTCCAGCGCGAATGGTAAAATACAATCTTGTGTGTTTGGTTGCCATATAGAGTACTGTGAGTAGGGTTATTGTTGTCCATTTATAGTACCCCGAATTTGGACTTTTTGTGTGCATTCTCCAACTCGATCGATCGATTTTTCGTTGTACTGCATTTTGAATGTATAAAGTGGTCCTGTGGAGTTTGGTACATCACACTAATTGAAGTTCACTCGCGAATCTGACCGTAGCGTGCAATCTGATTGGCTCATTACTTCTGCCGATACACTTATTTGGTTTTAGAATATAAACACAACCATAACACAACATGTAGGTACTTGCTAGCTGCAGAAGCGATCATGACCAGTGGATTGTTTGTCTTGGTGAACCGAGACGACCAATCATATTTTATCAACCCCCACGCTGCCACAAGGTACTTGGCATTTTCACAACAATATATATATATATATATTCACGATACCTTGTACATTGCAGTCCACTTCCCCAAGTCGAGGCCTTCGAAGCTGTGGGCAGGTTTATTGGCCGAGCACTATTGGATGGCCAAGGCTTGTCGTTGCCGTTGAACCCCGTGCTTTTTAAAGGTACTTCATTATCGGAATGTGTGTTGGTCGACCAACACTCAAAATTGCCTTTAACATAGCAATCTTGGGGACGCCATTAACGTTGGACGACGTCGAGATGCTCGACACTCAAGTGTTTCAAAGGTACCGTAGAAATAAATACATACTTCAGACACATGATAGTACCGTGTCGATGTAGTTTGCGTTATGTATTGGAGCACGATAGCGTGGAGTCGTTGGCCCTGACGTTTGCAGTGACGGAAGATGTCGGCAGTGGAAAGCTCAATGTGGTGGAACTAGTGGAAGGCGGCGTGGACGTCGAAGTCACGGATGCCAACAAGCACGACTACGTGGAACGCATGGTACGACCGTAGTAAGTCAACCCTGGCGGTGGGAACTCATGGCCTGCACCTAGGTGCACCACTTGCTCTTCCATCGAGTTGAACGCCCCTTAGCCGCCCTGATTCAAGGCGTGTATGCGATCATCCCTCGGGAACTCCTTGCCCCGTTTGACCACAAAGAAGTACTGTTTTCCATTGGAACTGTATATCGTCGTCACATTGCACGTTACTAAGTGGGATATATGTGTACATACATATGTAGGTGGAGCTCATTCTATGTGGCTTGCCCGACATTGATGTTGACGACTGGAAAATGCACACGAACACGACGGACGCCGTGCGAACTTCGCCCTTGTGGACCGTACGAACCAACCTCCTCCCGTTGACCCCCCTACCCCCAGACTAAGGACATTGTAGTGGTTTTGGGAGATTGTGGCCGACTTGTCACTGGAAGACCGCGCCAAGTTTCTCCAGTACACGACGGGGTCGCCCCGAGTTCCGGTCCAAGGGTTTAGCGGTTTGACGAGCTACGACGGTCGAATCTGCCACTTTTCGATCCGAGGCGTGACCTACACCCAGGGGAAATATCCCGTCGTGCACACGTGCTTTAATCGCATCGACTTGCCAGCGTATCCGTCCAAGGCTGCTCTCGAAGAAGCGATTGCGATGCTGCTCTTGACCGATGCAACAGGCTTCACGTTGAACTAGCTCGACGACGATTGGTTAAAATAATGTCCATCTCAGTAACGTTAGTATTCGCCTAAAAAACATCCGTGAAGGATGATATGATTGGATAAAAATGAATGAAATGCTTCGTTTCGTACGCTTCTTCCACGCAAATTGTAATCCAACATAATTACCCCCACCGCTTCAGCACCTACTAGTATACGGTAGTACCATGGTACTTTGCAGGTGTGTGTGTACTGTACTTCGAAGTATTACCAATGATACTGTGCAGTAGAACCCTCCAATTAACTACGTTAGTGCGTGAAAAATACTAACGTTACATGTACCACTGGAGATGCTCTTTAACTAACGCTACGGCTGTTAGTCCATGTCGGAAAAAGATATGTATCCGGAAAAACTTTTTTCGCAATAAAATACATCAATCAATACTTTTTCGTTTTTTATGAAAATAAGTTCCAGACATGAGCGGACTATCCCAGGCTTGGATGGACCAACTACGCCTCAAAACTCGCTTGCATGTCTGAGTAATTCCGGGGAGAAGCAAGAAATCAACGAAAACACTCAATCATCTTGCCATCTTGCATATCGTCTAAGTCTGTCCCTGTTGCAACGTGCTGCTTCAAAATGTTCACGTCACACATGATAACACTAGTATGTTGGGATGCAATTGCCATATCTCTGACATGACGGTACCGTTAGTTTATCTAAGTCACTATCTATGTTATATGATATAAGCTATACTGCTATTAGAGCAACTCCACCCGTGGGATTTATCGAATGAGATTTATTCGGATAATGTACGGATAGATGCGAGATTTATTGGAGTCCCAGGGATAAATCTCAATTTCCCCACCCATGAGATTTATTCGATTCACACAGGCCGCTGCACTCTGTTACCGGTACATGTAGCTGCAACGAGTGCGGCAACTAATGAATCCCACATGACGACTACCACATCACATTCAATCGAAGGTTACAGTAGAAATCTATCATGTCGCATGCCGCAGTTCGACGCCATAAATTATCTCACTCGTCTAAAAAGGGGGCACACCTTTGAGCTTATCGATTATGGACTCTGACAAAGCAATCTACGTGGTACTCACTAATTCATTCATCCTGCAGGTGCCTCCATCAGGGGCGACTTGGTTGTCGATGCGATGTTGACGGCTGTGGCGGCGGTGTTAGCAGGGTGAACACGCCATTTGACGTAGGACTGTGAAAGTCGGTGGCGTTCAGAGGTCCAATTAAGCATCGACAGGGGTTATTGTACACGCGCACAGTTCACTGACGCCGCCGTCGCCTCTTGTGGTCGTTGCTCTGCCGCGTGGACATTGCATATGGAGTTCAATAAAATGGTAATTTTATGTATATTGTGTGATCGAACTTCAATTTACTATGTTAAATATTGCTTTGGATTATTAATTTTGATATTATATTCTTACTATGAATCCGGATAGCATAAATCTGATGGATAAATAGGGGGAAAAAGTCCTATTAATGTCATCCAATGTCACCACATGTCATCCACGCTTTTTATTCAACAATTATATTATATTAACCATAGTATCCAAGGTTGGTATTAATATTCAAAGTACAGTATATGATAGAAAAGTGAAAATAATAGGCTAATAGGATCGTTCTACCCATCGCAGCATTGATTTTTATACATTTCGAAATGTAACATTCGAAACCAATTACTACTACCTCCAGACGGAAATAGAAGTCCCTTTTCATTCTTAGAGGTTTTTTCAGATTTAACCGGAATTAATTACTTTATAGAATCTCTTTATACGTATCCGGATACGAGTCACGATTTTATACTGATTATATTATAGACCTGCATTAATTTATATTCTGTACAAAACATAGTTTAAATTGTTGCTGACTATTTGTTCATGCAGGTAGAATGCATGCAAACCACAAACATTCATAGAGTAGAACCGCCTTATCCATTAGGGTATTCATCTTTAAGGTATTATATTCCACAGGGATACGGATCATACAAAGACCTTTACAACAAGCATACTTAGGGCAAAA